GGACCTTGGAGGTCTTCTAGTCCAATCCTGCTCAAGCAGGAGACCCTATACATATAGGTGGCTGTCCAATCTTTTCTTAAAAACCTCCAGTGATATCAGCTTCAACCTACAACTTCTGAAGGCAAGGTGTTCCACTGGTTAATTGTCCTAACTGTTCGGAAGTTTTTCCTTAGATCCAGGTTGCTTTTCTCCTTGATTAGTTTCCTTCCATTGTTTCTTGACCAGTCTGGAAGTGCTTTGGTAAAAAAGTTGACACACTCCTCTTTTTGGCAACCTTTCAAATACTGGAATACCGCTATCATGTTGCCCCTAGTCCTTTTTTCTCTAGACTAACCATACCCTTCTTTTCTCTAGACTGGCCATACCTATTCTGCAATCGTTCTTAATATGTTTTTGTGTCCAGGCCCTTAATCATCTTAGTTGGTCTTCTTTGCACTTTTTCCAAACACTCAACATCTTTTTTTGTAATGTGAATGCAGCATTCTGGTGTAGTCTTACTAAGGATTTATAAAGCAGTGCTAATACTTTATGTGATTGTGAATCTATGCCTCTATTTATACAACCAAGAATTATATTAGCTTTTTTGGCTACTGCCGCTGGCTTGTGTTTAAGTGATCACCCACTAGGACTCCAAGGTGCCTCTCACAGTTGCTGTTTATGAGTCAGGTTTTACCTAACCTGTACTTGCACCTTGGGTTTTTCCTGCTTATGTGTAAAACCTTGCTTTTCTCCATATTAAATTTTATTTTGGTGGATAGAGCCCATTGTTCAAGTCTGTAAAGGTCTTTTTAGATCCTGAGCTTGTCTTCTGGGGTTTTGGCTATTCATGCCAGCTTAGTGTCATCTGAAAATTTGGTGACTTCCCCTTCTATTCCCTCATCTTATTCATTTATGAAGATATTAAAGAGGATAGAACCTTGTGGTACCTGATTGCTTACTTCCCTGTAGATGTCATATCATTAAGGACTACACACTGAGTATGGTTTGTCAGCCAGTAACAGATCCATCTAGTGGTGATACTGTCTATCCCATATTTTTCTAGTCTAAGTATGCTATGCCCACAGCATTTCACTGATCTACAAATTTAGTCACTTTGTCAAAGAATGAAACTTTGGCATGATCTGTTTTCAGAAAACCTACTCTGGCTACCAGTTATAACTTCATTTCTAGTTGTCTCTTTTTTATTATTTATTCCAGTATCTTCTCAGGCTGGTTGGTCTGCAGTTTCTGGATCTACCTGGTTTCCACACACACACCCTTTTTTTAAAAAAAGATGGGAATCACATCAGCTCTTTTCCAATCCTCTGGTAGTTCCCTGTTTCTCCAGTATTTCTAAAAATGTTATATAACAGTTATAAGCTAATATGTGCCAGCTCTTTCAGAATTCTGGGATGTAATCCATCACATCCCGATGATTTATATTCATCAAGGTCAGGCAGGTGTTCTCTTACCCTTTTTTTTTTTTTTGCTTGTTTTAATTTTTATTTCTAGTCTGTCTTTTACAGTTATGTTTGTAGTAGGTTGGACTATAGTTTCTTTTTATGTGAAGACTAATGCAAAGAATGAGTTAAGCAGCTCTGTTTTCTCTCTACTGCCTGTTACTTCGTTGCCACTTTCTCTCTTTAATGGACCAATTGTTTCCCTGAATTTTGTCAAGTGCTTCAAGACCACTTTCCTAGCATTCTACATTTACCCTGCCTAGGATAGAAATATATACTGAATATCTTCAGCATACTATGTATCAATATATGAGTTCACTTAGTGGTATGACATAAATTTAAAATGTATCAAGGAAGGCTCATTTTCCTTTAATATCAATGCTAACTGGAACCAGCCTGGATGAAGGAACAGAACAACTGAAATACCATGCACCTTACTCCCAACTTTCTGAGCAGATCTAGTAGAATGACATGATTGATAGTATAAAAAGTTATTTAGAGAGCAGCAAATTTGTCAAAAATCTGGGTAGCCTTGGTCTGGAAGAACAAGCCTAGAAAAGCAATAACAGTCTTAGGTTCCAGTAAATATATACAAAAACAATTTAGCTGTTAATTCAATCGATCATAACTCTTACATCGACATAATTATTACTGGACACAGCATTACACAAAGATTGGAAAATATTAATACAGCTAAGAGAGAAAGGGAAAGGGAAAGGAAGGAAGGGGGAGGGGAGAGACGGAGGAAGGAAGGAAGGAAGGAAGGAAGTCTGATTGTCTGAGGGAGATTAAATAATCTGGCTCCTGGTTAAAAGCTTTCCCATATTTTTCATATACATTTCAGTATTATGATACTTGGGCTTTTAAATTTGCAATTAGATCTCATCTAATCCACTCATGTCAAGTACTTGAAATGTATTGCTCATTGTGTTTACATTTGTATAATTTTATCACTTAATGCAGCAAAATTTAAAAACTTCAGCTACTTTGCTGGATATGTGTAAAACTGAACATTATTTGTGGGGGGGGGGTGTTGTTCTCTTTATCTCACTTAATTATATCATTAATTCTCACATTTCATAGAAATAAACTTTTAAGAATCAAAGATATACTTATTTCTGTTTTTTGTGGTTACTTAAATTGCTTCTTTCCAGAGTGATATTCCTAAAATGAAGTTAACAAAAAGTGCCATAAAGGTCATGCATTGTGTCTTTAACCCTGGCACTCATGTGTCATTCAGATTTTTCATCACTGAATGAATATGAGTTGGGGTGGTGGAGAGGGAAGCAGAGTTTGTTCAAAGTCAAATCTCACTGTTTTGACAAGAAAATCAGAGTTAATGTTTATAACCTGTACAAAAGGAGGGAGAATTAGGTCATATAGACTGAATAATTCTAGAAAGCTACCCAAATTCAGTCTATATGACCTAATAAAGTTCAGTCTATATGACCTAATAAAGTTCAGTCTATATGACCCAAATTCAGTCTATATGACCTAATAAAGTTCAGCAAAACTTGAGAAATAGATGGAGAAATTTGAAAATCTGAAAATGCTGATAGAAAGGTAATGGCTATTATTTAATTCATCAGAAAGAATGAATGTATGATGAAATAAATGGAAATGTGGATTCAAGTGTGCTTCTGCCCACTTTGGTATATAAAAGTGAAAGTTGTGTGTTAGGAGAAACAAAAAACACTTTGAATGCAATGAGAATGGAGCTACTTTAAAATTTTATCTGGTAAAACAAGAAGTGCATTGAAGATTGAATGGCTACTGAAAGAATGTGGATTGAATTTTTAAAAAGAGTGACAACTATGAAAACGGTATATTAAAGTACTTTAGTCATAAAGCCATGGTGGCTCAGTGGTTAGAATGCAGTACTGCAGGCTAAGTCTGCCCACAGTCAGGAGTTTGATTGTGACTGGCTCAAGGTTGACTCAGCCTTCCAACCTTCTGAGGTCGGTAAAATGAGGGCCTAGATTGTTGGGGGCAACAGGCTGACTCTGTAAACTACTTAGAGAGGGCTGTAAAGCACTATGTAGCGGTATATAAGTCCAAATGCTATTGCTTTATAGAGAAAATAAATGACAATCAAATCTTAAATATTTGAAGAAAGGAAATAGGTTAAATGGAATTGGAAGATAAAGAAAGTTGGGGTTGGTGATGTTGACAAAATTCTCAAAGAAAATTCTGAAGTCTAAAACACAAAAGATGCTATATGAATCAGTGCACAGGATGGATACAGCAATAGCACTTAGATTTATATGCCACTTTACAGTGCTTTAGAGCTTTCTCTAAATAGTTTACAGAGTCAGCATATGTCCCCAAAAAATCTGGGTCCTCATTTTACCCACCATGGAAGGATGGAAGGTTGACTCAACCTTGAACCTGGTGAGATTTGAATTTCCAAATTGCAGGCAGCCAGCACTCAGCAGAAGTAGCCTCTGTACTCCACTCTAACTACTGCGTCACCGTGGATATAGAGGAAGTAAGAAAAGTTTAAAGGGCGGCAAGATATGGATGAAGAAAAGAATTAGAGTTTCTCTGATTTTATCTTCTTTCAAATCTGACAAATCAGGTCTGAGCAATGTGTTTGGTGATCCAAAATGTATGCCAGCAATTAATAGTAAAAAGGTAAATAGATTATGACCTTTTGCATCTAATTACAGGTATGGGATGTTAATTATAGCTATGGCATCATAATATTCAGTGCATCATAACTGAGGCTATTAGTATCAGATTAAAATGCATAAATGTAACACTCTCTGAAAGAACTTCAGAAAACTTTAATGAAGCTAATTAACAATTTTTATTGGCTTTTCAAACTACTTTTGCACAATTACAATCAGCAAGGTATGAAGTGGGAGGATTACCTGATGACCAAAAATGATAGAAAAAAAATTAAAACAAAGTTATAATACTTAGAAAACTTTGCTCCCTCCCTCCAAAACAAAATAAGCAAACAACAAATAAACAAACAAAACCATCCTTCATTGTTTTGTATATAACACGTTCAAGTGAATTTTCAGTTTAAATCTTTGAGCATTTTACATAATTCACTCTATTTTCAACATTTTACAGGAGAAACTAACATTCAAAGATATATCTAACAAGAAATAATCATTTTTACTTTTTGTTGCAAAGAATGAATGTCAAATAATTGTTAAATTATTGTCATTATGCATTCACACATGAACTTATTTCAGTAGTTTGCTTTTTAATCTACTTTTAAACACATCAATAAAAATAATTTAAAAAAATATAATTAGGTACTTATTTCCTTTATATGTTGCTAATAAGTTAATTTACCAGTGTGTGTATGTATGCACATACCTGTGTGTGTATGTATGTATGTATGTATGTATGTATGTATGTATGTATGAAAATTCTATTAGTTAATTTTGAATTACATACAATGTGTTATATACAGTGTCCATTTATGTAACACATAGATAAGAATCATTGCATTGTTCTTTTTCTATGTTTTGTAGGTAGTAAAGTAACCAGCCACATTTACATCAGTGGGGGAAAAATATTTCATTTTCTCCTTGACTCAGAATTATGGATGTAAAAGACAGAAGGCACCGTTCTTTGACAAGAGGTAGATGTGGGAAGGAATGTCGCTATACAAGTTCTTCATTGGACAGTGAAGACTGCAGAGTACCTACTCAGAAGTCCTATAGTTCAAGTGAGACACTGAAGGCTTATGATCATGATACAAGAATGCATTATGGAAATCGAGTTACTGACCTAGTTCACAGAGAATCAGATGAATTTCCAAGACAAGGTATGTTATAGATTTTAGCATTTTGCCAATATTACTGCAGTAATTTTAAGTGATCATGTGTTTACTTTTCATGTTCCTTTGTGTTTACTTGTGATTTGACATTACTGTACAAAAATCAGGTTCCATTGTGATGCTAAATTTTGAACATGTTGCCTTTAGGCATATTTAGAAATGCCTTTCTGTATTTCCCTTTCAGTACAGAAGTATTAATAATTATTAATGTTGTACAAGTATAATACTGTAATATTGAAGTATACTAAATATTATAATCTTGCATTATGTTATCAAGATTTTTATATGTATAGTAGAAACATTTTTGCATTTGTTTCTGGATTAATTGCACTCTAAAATTATTAGTGTGATTATCTTACAGCAAACCTATATCCAGCTTCTATCCAATGAATCAATTTGTTATTTTTCCTATTTCTTACTGAACTAAATTACATTTTGCTGAAATGTTTTCATCACCTGTTATTTAATTTCACTTAAAAAATTAAAAGCTAAATCCCACCTAATTATTTTAATTTTAGCTTTACGTTCTACTGTTTCATAGATATCCAGAAGTCTATAATTAAACCAAGGACTGAGAATTTACATGAATGTATAAATTGTTGTCCAATATACTGTACATTTCCTACATTTCAAAAATTTCATTAAATGCATGAAAGAAGTAGCAATTTTCTTTATTTTGCTTACAGTATGTTTCTCTCTACATTTCTTTAAGTCTTTATTCATCATTATTTGATTTCTTAACCTTTAAGTGTATCAATTAATCAGATATGTAACATTGCATTTAAGATAGTCATATATCTATATTGCAGGAAATGTAACTATTCGTAGGCTTACATTGATCTTCCTAGAATTCTTTTAAGTCATCTAATTCTTTTGTAAGATTGAACCAAGCCAGCTGTTTCTAGGGTTTTCCCTAGCCCCAAATGAATCTCATACAATGAACTATCTTGAAAGATTGCTTTGCCAACAAAATAGATCCCATAGGCTTGTCAGTCTTGTGAGAGAAGACTTGTTCAGCACTGACTTAATTTTATCTGATTTATAGTTATATAAATGCACTTGATCCTTTATAAATAGCTTTTAATCTATATGGATCATTGGTTTCATATAATAATTAATCAAATTTAATTGCTTTTATCAATACATTTATGAGATCATTGGTTTCTTTTTTTTTTCTTTCCAAAATGTTAAAAACTCTTTGGAACTATAAACATTAAACCAGTTTCTCAGGATATTTTCCAAGGAAACTCAGAATGGATTTTGTCTTCCAAACAGCAATGCAAACTTGCTTAAACTCTGAAACACTGGCCAAAGACTCAAAGAGCTTTATCATTAGGTAGATAACTTTATTTGGATTTCCCACTATTTGTTGTAGCATCTGTCACACAACAATAGACATCACATTACATCTGTAGCAATACTTGAAGAACAATGTTATTTGAATAAAACATTTTTTTTTCAAAGTGTGCCTGGATCTCTTGGATTTTTAAAAGCTTCCTCCAACTTCCTTTTTCATTCATGAAAGTAGTTTGAATTTGTATTTTAGTTTAGAAGTATGTTAGTTTTGTGTGTGTGTGTGTGTGTGTGTGTGTGTGTGTGTATGAGAGAGAGAGTGGGGAGGGAAAGGGAGAGGAAGAGGGAGAAAGAGAGAGAGAGAGACTTGTAATATTAGGTAACTGAGTGAAACAACCAAGAACAAGAATAATGAAACACAACTCATTATAGTGAACATGTACACCGAAAGTGAATGCCAGTGCAATTAATTAATTTAATTAATTAATTAATTAATTTTATAGCATAAATGTAAAAACACAAATGTCATGACAATTTATTTCATTGAAAGCATTAAGTATTTCAAGATATGTTGTGGGTAAACAGTCAATATTTACTCAAAATTGATTTAAAACAGAGAATCGTAAATAAAATGAATAATCTGCACTGGATTATTGGTGAAGATTTTGATTTTTAATTTAAAACTATAGAATATTTATGTACTATATACTAATTCATTCTGAGGTTAATTCAGTAGTCTGATTTGTCACCATACAGATATAAATATGTGTTTATACACATAGGTATAATTGAATGTCTCAGCGAATGTTTTGTTGTTATAAATAACCTTAATTGCTTTTTATAATTGTATTAAGTTTTATAGTTTTCAGTGCTCAGTATCCAGATGGGTGGCCATATAAATTTGTTTAATATTTTTTAACATTTGGGTTTAAAATACTTCTTTCTTCATTTTTTTGTTATTGCACAGTTCACTATTGTACTAAGTCCTACATTTATGACAACATGAGAATTAGTTAGTGAGATTTCAGATAGTGATGACATTTAATAAAGATTAAAAAATAATTTTCAACAACAATCTAGATGGTATAACACTTAAAATAAAATAAAATAAATTCCATAGCTCTGTTATGGAAAATTAGTAAAGTCTGAATTGAGAAATTTTCAGAATTTATGAATTAAAAAATATTGTAATTGAGATAGGTGAAAACTAGACTGGGAAAAATGTTTGTAAAGAAGAAATAACATGCTATCTTGATTATTTTGTTTTCAAAATAGAAATGAACTATGTTCTAAACATAGCCACAATACAAGTTTAATCTACTCTAATACTGAAATCCACTAGAGAGGGATTAATGTTTAAATAAAAAACCCCTTTTGTTTCAAGTCTGTAACTTAATACTTTGTTAGGGTGAGAAGGGCAAAGATAAGAAAATGAAGGAATAAACCAATTAGGTATGTTCTCCTAGTAATACTTTCTAGAAAGTTAGGAAAATTTAATCTGTGAATCAAATAACTGTTAAAATATGCTGTATTAAGAATACAGTGGAATACTTCACTATCAAGAATGTGAAGTTCTGAGTTGAGCCAGTTTTAAGACTATGGATCAGGATAAAGTTAGATGCACAAATACTAACATGGGGAATAAATGAGGTTACAAGATATACATTGAAACTCTGGAAGCATATCAGTAGTCCGATATGTCTGATATGATTGCATTCAGTCCATACATAAAATATGAGACTCAAGTCATTAATTAGTCTTACATATTATGTCTTACTAATTATTCATGTAGGATTGTTTTTTCTACACAGATCAACAAATCACAGTGAAGACACTGTGAGAATATCATTTCTTAGATGGCAAGGAAACATTTCAGTTCAGTTAGGACCTTTTCTATAATTCATTGGATCCTACTTTCTTGTCACTGCCTTGGTATTAGTATCTGGTTTTCTGTTATGATTAGGAAAATCTGGAGGAAGAGAAAATAGATTAATTATCTAACAGTTCCAAAAGTAATATCCTCCATCATTAGAGTAAAAAATTGAAAGGGATCACACTGAGTCCTATTTTGCCTGCTCATAGCAAACTTCAATGATACAAGTAAGACGTTCTGTGAATAATCTTTGCTCACAGGGCAATGTTTGTACAACACTCTGATGTATTTACCAAAGCAACTCAGTCAGGATTGAAATATTTTTGCCTACTCTTTTTTCCAATTTGCAAAGGCCACTTCCTGGAAGAGGCCAAGTTGCTCTTGAGGAATATAGAGGCTGGTTGGAATTTTTGAGGGAACTGAGAGTGGGAATGATCCATAACTAGATTGTAGCCAATCAATTTTGGGGATCATTTCATCACAAAGGTTAAGAATCTTTGATTTTATTTGCAATAGTAAAAAAATGAGAAACACTAGAAGCTATAGAAAAAGAGCTGAACTAGAAGGCTCCAAGGTCATCACTTTGGATGGTTGCTACCAAATTCCCAAATCCCCCACCCCCTTCAATTGACCATTATCTAGTGTGATTTAGCTTTGACCATTAGTTAATTAGATTCTTCTATATAGGTGGCAATAATAAACTCATCTATAAACACTCCTGCTTATTTGCTATTATTTACTATTCAGTTAAAGAAGCAATTAAATAAATAATCTGGCCAATCAACAGTTACTGTTGAGGTAATTCCCCGTTAGGAGAATGAGTGCATACAGGGGGACATAGTGAGAGTGGTGAAGAATAATACCCGCACAGCACACAGATACACTGTACAGTAAATGTAAGTTTTTACTTCCAATAAACATTTAAGCACAGTCCAAGATAGTCACAGATAAAGCTGTCAGTTTTCAGTTCAGGGAGAATCCAAATATCAAAGTCCAGTATCAAAAAAACAGTTCAGTAACAGACTTACATCAACAATCAGTAACAGTCATTAGGAGGAACTGCAAAACTCTCCAACAGAAAGGAACAGAAACTCACAGAGACTAAACAACCCAGGTTTCTGGCTCCATCTTATGGCCATTTGCGGAACCACACCCAATTACAGTTTTAGCATTCTTTTAAAGCTACAGTATTAAAATGTCTATCCTAGTTTATATATTTCCAACCCAAATAACTGTTAGGTGACTTACATTCCTAACATTTACTAGCTGGAGAGATTTGGAAAATGCCTTCTATTTTACAGTTTGTCTTTATTACTTCATTATAGAAAAGTTATCCTAGTTATTATTTTTCCTTTTCACTGTTATGGGGAAAGTTTGCTAATTACAATTAAAGAGTTAAATCTATGTGTTAGAGTTCCTATCCCAAGAGTTGAAATTTTATTCTGTTAGAGTTGGGAACTGTCTAACATAATTCCTGAATGTTGTCTGCATTCTGACTTTTTTTTGCCTTTCATTTCAATACATTTGCATTAATTTCTGCTTTGACTATTTTCCTACCAAATTTTTTAAAAAATATTCTGCCCAGAGTTAATTTGCATTCTCAATTGTTGGAAATTGCAGGACTTGCTTTACTTTCATGTTTCAAATTATGATGTAAAATTAATCATCTCCTAAAATCATATTGGCTGATACTTCTGATTTTTTGTGTATCCAGTTTCAAAAGGTGACTTTATAATGACTTGATAATCTAGATAGGAAGCCCCTGAAAGTTATCATTATATCCAAATGAAGGTCAAGAATAAATAGTTCACTTATGAGTGCT